TAAATTTTTCGATGAAACTGAAACAATTTTAAATGTAAAATACATTGTTGTTGCTGTTATTGTCGCTATCATGAATTTTCGAGAATTCAGCAGTTATCCTTTCAGGTTGGGAAAAAATTGAACTTTGGTCTACAAATAGGGCATATTCCCTTCCGAAAAATATAAATGTTACAGAGCAAATAAAATCAGTCAAAAGGATAAAATGCTAATAATATAATAATCACAAAGTTGCATTATCAATTTCTCATCCTAAACAAGTAACTGACGCATTTTATTACGTAACACATCAGACATGAAGCATTGACAATATCAAATGCTCTTTTGACAAAAAGTGATGTTAGCCTTATTTTCAACATTAACTTGCTTTCTTCTACCTTATCGTCATAATGGCCTGATAAGTATTAGCTATCACTAAAATAAAAATCTTGCCTCTATTGCTAAATAGTCAAATAAGCGAAAGTCCAAAGCTTCTCACCGGCACTTATTCCGAGCTATTGGCTTAATAAAAGTAACTGATGACTGAAAACTTGCCTATAAACTTATCAAATTGTCACTTACTCATTCCACATTGTCTTTTGGAATTTGATGGACAATCTTACGTTATTTGTCCTTTCACTTTTTCCTTGTCATTTATATACGTTTTCCTCAAATGAGTAACTGGAATAATAGAACAGAGTAAAGTACAGAACATCGAGAAAAAAAGCATCGCCATTCAAGTTCTCAAATTTCTCGTAATTTCTAGACTTCACAACTGATGACTCATTGGGCTCTAGAAAAATCTATAAAGCGCTCTTCAATAGAAAAATCTCATTTTTCTACGCCTACAATTGCTGTACTTTTGCATTTATGATGACTCATTCATTTCCTGGAAAATGGTTACATTTATTTCCAGTCAAAACAATTTTGGAATTATTTTAAAGATTTTCCCAAAAATTTTCTTAAAGTGTTGAAATTCTTGGTATGATATGACATAAACTATGTAAAGTATTATTGTTCTGAGGGAAAGTTTCCTTCCTTTCTCCCTCAAAATAATATTTTAGAAATATTTTCATAATAAATGATACATCAATTCATCTTTCTCTCTCTCCTTCTCTCTTCTACATTGTCGAAATTATTGAAGCTGAAGATTACACACTACTAGTGATTCACTGAATATTATAATACACTTAATCTAATTGAAAAATGCAAAAAAAAAACCAAAACTTCGAAATCTTATCAAAAGATATAATAGTGTTTTTTTGTTTCAATATTCGTCCATTTACTATATTATTTTTTTTAATCCACTCACGTTTCTCCTCAAAACTTTGCAATTTTAAAATTTAGTTCCAATTTTGACAAATATTGAAATTGTAACAAATAATGAAGGACACTTCTTTAGGATATAAATGACGCAGTTCAACTTCTGCCTTTCTCTATTTCATTCATTTGAAACATAACAAATTTTAATTGAAAAGGAAACTTTCGAAAGAATAGCACATATGCTCAACTTAGTTTTTTAATAAAATGCAATTTAGATGAATAAATTATATGATGAGATGTGGCGGAATTAACAGACCATAAAATATGAATATGAAACAATCAATTACACCGTTTCCGCCCTTTCTCTGTCCTGAGAGATTACAATGTGTTTCTTAGATGATCACAAGTAATTCGACTCATTTTCAATATTGCCTTGATTATTACTGATAAATTTCACTTTTAATTAAAAGATTAATTAAAAGAAAGTTTTCACTGAACAAATTGCGAAATAAGCAAACTTCGCCTTTCGAATAGGACCAAGTGATAAAGATGATTATTCAAGTGAAGACTGAATAATGAGATAAAAGAAAGTTAACCTGAGAAAAGTTAAAGAGAAGAAATTTGCAGATTGTTACCTTTAAAAGAAAACGTGATAAGAGATTCATGTCAATTACATCTTACTTTTAAACTAAATACAGTGGGAATTTTGAATGTCTACCTTAGCTAGGTTTCAACTTATTGGGTAAAAGAAGTCAAGGATACAGGACATGCAACTGGTGAGTAATAACAACTGTAATTCTAAATGTGCTTTAAAGCTTTCCAACAAAGAATTGAAATGGAGAAGATTGAGCAAAATATATGATTCCAAGAAAAAATGAAAAAGTGTTCCAATTTTTAACTGTTTCCTATTGATTTTAAGAAGCATTTGTATTGAAACTGCGACAACCAGACTCAGAGCATTTGTCATCACCGTCATCTACCACCATCGGTACTTTTCTCGTCTTCTATCAAATGAGGTATGTATCATACTGAAAATAAATAAATATTACCGAATTTAAGAATGAACAGAAATTGTTAGAAGTTGAGATTGTTGAAAATTTGAATTATTGCAACAATATCTTTCATTTCAGAACGATCAAAATTATAACAAATTAAAATCAAATTATTTCCGGCTAAAATATTATTCAGAGTGAAATAATTTTGGCCAATACAATTTATAAAATTTATTAATTATCATATTGATTTTGACGAAATATAAGAATTTATTCTATTAGAATTGAAATTTCAACAACTCAAATCTTGATGATTATTTACATGCACAAGACTTGATGTAATGCATTTATTATTACTTGTAAAAAACAGGTGATTCTCATGATTTGAAAAGAGTTTTGTTATTAGGGATTTTGAATTTATGAAAATAGGAAAAAATGTAGTTTAGTCGTAAATTAAAAAAAAAAAAAGTGTATGATTTCAACAGAATGTATACAACGATTGTAAAAATTTCACCATTTTTTGCGATTTAGATCGCATTTTGTAAAGGTACGATGCAGTAGAAATGTATAAACATAAATCATTCTACTATAAATGCTAATCCATTTCAGAAATGACTGAAACGAAACTTTTACATTTTGAAATTTAAAGCATTCTCCTTTTTTTCGTTTTTTTTTTTTTTTGCTTTTACTGATTTTGTGAGAATTTTTTAGGACATATTTTTCAATAAAATATTTGTGTAGAACTTTTGTGATAGTTTTCGAGAGATTAAAACTAATATCTCCTATTAATAGAACAGAAGATATCGATTAAAATTCAATAGCAGAAAAAAAACCCTAATAGACAAGAAACTTTGATGGAAACATAAATTTCTATACATTAATCCATTTGCAGAAGAATATATGAGTTGAAGTATGATTGGCAATTTGGTAATAATATCGCTAAGCTGTTCAATTGACTAATTTAAATTATTGTTTTTAATTTTTATTAAAAAAAGAACTAATATCCAGCGATGTTTATTATAAGCCAATTCCAATTTAATACAAACATTTTTCTGGCTCAAAATTCAAAACATAGACGAATTGGTAAAGACATCTCTCATATATTATTTGAATTCGGTTTACGCTTTACATATCTGAATTTAATGCAAGAGAATAAGTTAAAAACAGAGCTTCTCTAGCTTTAACATCAATCACTTCTCTTTTTACGATATGCTTTAGAGTTAATGCATTTATTTATGCAAACATATTTACCTAATTTGTATTTACATTAATGTAAGCACATCCATCCCTATTTGATGAGGCAATCATTGGAGCAATATTATGCAGTCAGGAATGATTGTTATCCAAATGCGGAGCAATGATAACCTGCAAGTACAAATATTTTTGTGGTCCAAATTATTGACCATCATACCCTGGGAAATTCACAAAATGATTTCATAGGAATTTTTCCATAATAAGCATCAACTCAGTCACAAATACTTCATTAATCGAGCATCAAAAGATAACATTTCTGACGTCAACTTTAAGATAATTTTGATAATGATGTAACCAAAAAAATCAATAGCATCTAGAAATTTTGATAAAGTAAATCGCTGCAAACACAAGGGTTCTAATATATCTTACGCTACAGTTAATCCAAAAGCAATTATGAAATGATTATCCAAAAAATCTCCTATGACCTATACAAACTGACACCACCCATAACCTCCTTATTTACTCAGCTGTGAAAAGAACGTCACTTTCAGTCATAATAATTATATTCTCCTTTGATTTTTAGTGCACATATCAGAAGCTTTAACCACTTAAAATTATATATTGTCAGAAAAACTTCAGCAACATGCCCTGACAAATATAGGGAAGCTTCCTTGACCGAAGCTTTCCCTAGAGGAATGCTCTTAATTCGTTCTCTGCGATATTTAATTCAGTCAAAATTGCATAACACTGTTCATTAGAAACTTGGACCCGTACCTCCATGAAATTTTATTTGAAAAATCAACACTCCACTAGGTCCTACTTATTTCGTAATTACAGGTTAAGTTGAAACAATCTTATAAAATCAAAGCATTTAAAAAACGAAAAACTTTTGTGCTTGAAAAAAAAAAACGCACATTGCAAGACTAAAATTTTTTGCAAAAATCAAAGTCACATTCTATGCAAATGTACAACAAAACAAAAATAGTTCATTAAAAAAATATATGTTCACAGCTTATCCGAGATTTTCCCACAGAAATGGATAGAAATGCAATAATAATGGGTATAAAAACAGCTGCGAACAAGAATTGAAAAAAGAAGACTGAGAGACTTTCAAATTAGTTAACGACATAAAACAACAGAAATTAATGAAATGTCGTCACAATTTCAAATCATATAAATTACACATACTAACTGACAAAAAACAATTCTACTCGGACTTTCAGATTTCAGATGATATTTCCGTAGAGAATGGAGAGATCACTTTTGCATCAGATTTCTAAAATAAAAATTAGAACTCAGATATCATTCGCCGCACATATCTTACTAATGAATAATAACTATGTGTATGTTGAAAACTGATTATCACGCAGTTATTAAATGTTCTATCCAGCAATTAAGTTGTTCAGCATTTCTCTATAAGAAATAGTTTTGTTCCTACCTTAGCTAAAAATGACTCAAACAATTAATATTAGCAATACTCAACCATAAATCATCATACAAAATATACACATTAAGTGCAAATATGGAAGCTTGAAATAATAATTTCGAAATACAGTGTGGATTGTAAGCTTTAAACTATTCATAGCCCAAATTTTCTTCCTCTTCGTCCTCATAGACTTCTTCATATTGCTGTTCTTCAGGAAGCTGGTCTTGTCCGACATCCTAAATTATATTTTTCAATAGGATAATCTTTGGGGTTTAAGAATCAGCAAATTACAATACAGATGATGGTGAGTAAAATTCTTATTAATTGTTCACCTTTCAACGAATGCAAAATTATACTGAAACATTAAGCAAAGCTTAACACCTCAAACCCAAATTCCATTGGTGTCGCAAAGAATGATCAATTGGTAAGATATAAAACAACTATGGTTACTCGCACCAGTGCAAGGAGTATAGAAAATGCCAAGAAACCTGAATGGTATAAGTAACTTGTCTATTTGCATTAAATGCCCTTTGCTGTGTGTTGCTTGAACTTTCCTGTTGCACATTATAACGCCGTACTGATGTACGAATAGCACGATATCCGTTCGAGCTTGCTGTTATATATTTCTGAAAAAAAGAATCTATGTCATCAGATAGGACTATCAAGAACACATCCCTTCATATCATAACCACTGATTTATTTGTTCCCAAAAGTCAAAATTAAAATAAAATAGTAGAAAATAACCGAATCCGAGTTTGTTTGAATGGCATTCGTGCCAGTAACCACAGTTCGTGGAAGAACAGGTGGAATAACTCGAGCAGAACATGATGCTAAACGTTTTGGACGATGGTAGCTCTGCGGGATACTAACTGTCGATTCTTCAACGCGCGGTGTCGAAGCTACGGCGTAAACAGTCCTGAAATTCAAGTTCGTACTTTTTTGAAAGCTTTAATTAACGAAATGTTTTAGAATTCACCAAGTTAGAACGAAGAACGTAAAAATATAATTAAATAAAACAATTTAAACTTATTGTTTATTGTCTTGCAATGTGTTAACCGTTGAAACAATGTTTGATGGAATATCGTAAGCGATATTGTTCCAAGTACCTGCAAAGCAAGTTTGAAAAGAAATATGCAATCATCATCCTGGGATTTACTAAAACATTTGGTACTTTTGAAGACTAAAATTTCTGAAAAAAAAAAAGGTCATAAAGTAAATTTAAATTCAGTAAATTATGTTAATGAAGATTTACCAGTTCTTGTCAGTAAACACTTTCAAAACTCAAAAAATCACCATCAATAATTTGATCAACATAATCTCGAAGACAAAGGGGCAAATACGACTTGATTTTATTACGATCAATATCATTAACTTCACCGCGGTCTAAACCATACGCAAGACCAAGTCTTTTGAGTACTTCGATATCATCGTGTATTTCGAACGGTTGATCAAAATTGAATAAATATTCGGTTCTTAAAGTTAAATTTTATGGGGGAAATAGACTAACATCAGCTCTAATTTACAAATACACTAACACCAATTCCAATGCACGTAGAAATAAAACTTAGCAATAGTGACGATGTCATGCAGTCATGAAGAGTAACACATGACACTTATATTTTACGGAGTAAGCAACATGAGAGCAGAGAAACTACAGTTACCATATTTTGCGGAAAAAAAATGAAACAGAAAGAAAACTGGAACAAACTTGTCATGGGAAATAGCACAATCGATGAATGTTTTCTTCGCTGTGTTAACAATAATGAATGGCAAATAAAGTATTGAATCCTCCTTTGGACGACCGTTATCACGCTCCAATTCGCGATTTTTTTCCACCAAGGTTTTGTATGCCACAAGCTACAGACAAACGGTGAAATTTTAAAAATAAAAAAATTCTTCGTATTAGACCATACATATTTCAACATGAGCTAAATTCAACAAGTTTCGTTCTGCAAAAAACTTCGCTAGAATATTCTGACAAATTACATGAAGCACTCAGTAATCAAGGAAGAGAACAATATCAGTAAATGGGTTTACCTGTATTATAAGCTCCTGAAGTTGGTCGGATTTATGACGTATTCGCTCCTGTCGCTTCGCTTTTTCTTCCTCTAACTTACGACATTCCTGTACTGAAGATGTTGGTAATCCAACCCATCGAATTTCTTTTTTCTCCTTTTCAATAATATTCATAGCCATTAGCACATTCAATGCATCGTAGACACGGCGTCGAATGTTTTTCATATCATACTGTTGTTTTTCCTAAACATTCTTAGAAAAAAAAAAAAACAAGTCCTTATATAATTAAGAAGAAATAAAATATATTGTTAAGCGAATTGAAAATTCTTAAACTATGATAACCTTTCTTTTTACAGTTACTTATTCTCTATTAACTGGTGCTTTAATTTTTATTTAAACTTATCACTAAGTCTATATTAATTTAATTTTTTTTCCTTTTTTCATCTATATAGCCTTACAGCTTACTCATTTCCAAAAGTATAATTTTAAAATTTTAATTTAAATAAGCACATCTTTTCAAAATTTATTTTAATTCTTATTAAAATTCGAGTTAAATCATTTAACGACGAGTGAAGACACTGCATTTTCTCCTCCTAATAAATCTGCAAATTTGACTCCCCAGAAAATCTAATTTCAGATAAAAACACACCGTATCTGTAGGCTGAACATCGGCCGAATCGAAATACTCAGAAACCAGCTCATCAGCTACCTAAGAAAGATTCTCTTAACAAGCAATCAATGAAGTCATAAAGCCCTTCATATATATAAGCGAAAATGAAATGCTAGAGAAAAATATGGTTTTAAGACACAAATAATAATTGAAACCATTTGATGCGTGATACAGTTAATAATTTTAAACCTTATATTTCAGAATACAGTGTGAATTTCCTTATAATAGCTATAGAGGTAGATAGAGAAAACAGCAGATCATCTGTTAAAAAATGAGTTCACACCAATCGAAGTTAAATAAAAAGAGAGAAGAAACAGCAATAGCGCGTGCCTCATTATAATTTGTATGTCCTTTTTCCTTCACTTTCTCGCAAACTTTGGTACTGAAGTGTCGCAAGCCTTTGGATTTATCAGTACTACGAGGAAATTTCCGTATTAATTGAAGATCGCACGCATAATTACTTGATAAAGGTCGTTTTGCTTGATACACAGATGAACTAGCGACAGGATGTGTGCTTATACGATTAACCGACATATACCGATTGGGAACTACCGCAGAAACTGACATAGGCGGACCGGCTGATGGATGCGTCGAAAGTCTTCTTGCTGCTCCGGCTCCCTAAAATAGATGAATAAGGGAGTATCCAAATTTATTTTATGAAAGTTGACATCATGTACCATTTAAATAAAAGCCTTCCATAAATGACTAGAGAATATCAGTGATTCTGTCAATCAGTATTCACTAGTTACATATTTGTTCAACTGTATTACAATTTAAACTTACAACATAACTATTCTGACTAGATGTGACAGCTCTGCGTGCTAAGTGAGTTATAAGCTCTGACGGTGTGCTGCTCGTTTCACGCTCATCCATTACTCTTAAAATAGTAGATAGAAGCAATTCACACTTAAACAAAAGAAAAGACCGTCAAAAATGCAACATAACAACAAATAATGAGAACTGTGTAAGATATATACACCAATCAAATAAAACTATGAAAAATAATCTGAAAACTAGAAAAAAAAAAAAAAACGATCTGAGATATGCCAACAACACTCAAGATGGAATAGCTATTAGCACCTGCTACTGTTCGACGAAATATTTTCCAGAAGTTACAGTAGATTACTAAAAGTCTTAATCTGTTCTTCCAATAACTAAAAATATTTTTCCTAGCACGAAACCATCGAGAAATAACAGCTAAGTCGGAAGCATTTAGAACAAAAGAATGAAAAAAACTAAAAACACAATCAGATTAACAAAAATGCCCTAAACACCATTATCAACATGCTTTATATTTACTTTCACCAACATTTTATGCGAAACAGGAAAGAAGTCTAAAAATAGTAATCAATGATAACTATTAGGTGCCGAATGACGACCTGATTTGCCAAGAAATAATTATCGTTTACTATATTAACTGATATTATTATATTGTAAGATGTCTCCAATTTTCAAGTCACATGATTAAGGAGATAGCAGAGCTTCAGCGTAAATAGCTAGCATACCATAATAATGATGGAAAACAATGTCTATAAAAATAGCAATAATGACCGTAATAATAACAACAATAAATAATGAACCAGATAAATATATAAACAACACATTAATTTAATAAATAAAATAGATAAGTAAATAATGCAACAATTCAATAAATAGATAAGTAAATAAACAGCAAAATAGATAAACAAATGAATAATGAATAAATAAAATAAACAATAACAATAATGTCCACAAAAAACAACAATAATAAGGATGATGACAACATCGATAGAAAACAATAATGACAATGACAAAATGAAAGGCCCAGAAAAGAAAATGCAATAAAGATACGAGAACAGTAGACGGAAATAAAAAAAGCTTTGAAAAAAGCAACAAGCCACTGACGCCTGGTGCTTGCCGCACACGCAAAAACCTCTAACACGTAAAGTGGGAAGATGAAGAGAGTTGAATGACAGACAACAGCATGTCCAGTTCCGATTGGATTACAGACGCGGCAAAGTTCAAATAACAGCTCCTTGCAAGACACATGGCAACAGTTGCAACCAAATAGTTCGATTTGTTGTAGCAAGCTGTTAGGAGGCTCGGAACAACCGTATTAGAGCCTCGAGATTCTCACTTAATGTGCCTTACAAGTTGCGTCTTTGCTTACATCAAAATACCCTTAAATTGTTCAGTTCACTTTTTTCCGGGAATTTCCATCTGGAAATTGCTTGAGGTGCAATATTGATTGTTGTTGTCAACTGTCAATTCGATGAAAATTAGACTGTAAATACGAGAGAATGGCAGTCATTGTGTCATTTTTAATATTTTACACATCCCGAGAGGCAGCTTGTCTAGCTCCATGTATTACTAATCACATTTTGCTGTACCGCGTAACTCATCCATTTTTCCCATTCTTGAAGTCAACCTTTTTCGGAAATGTAAACATCATTTTCTAACATTTTCTCTAGGCATTTCATATCAGCATTAAACAGTCCAAATTATTATCAGCTTCCCATCTTTTTATACTACAGCTTCTAGCTTTTCTGGTTGAAAAAAAGTGGTTTTAAGGTTTGCCGGAAGAGAGAAATTCCGGAAAGTAAGAAGAAATTTTTAAGGGAAAATAAAACCTAAAATTCTTGAAGAAGATAAAAACAAAGCAGATTTCGACGATTTATTCATTAACTCTGGAAAAACTTTTTAAAAAAATAAAGACAAATAATATTCGCTTACAGTAAAAAGAAAAAACCGGAAAATGGAAGACCAGTTAGAAAGAGGTAATTCACCACAAGCATTCGATGCTGAGGATGGAGATGGAAGCTCAAATACTGAAACAAACAGTGCAACATTGGAACGTTTACGCGAAATTTTGAAGCAATGCGAATCGACTATTGAAGATCTGCGCCAAACAGTAGCAATACTAAAACATAATATTGAGGAACAATGTGATGAAATTATACGCTTAAAAAATTTAAACAGCAATACTCATAAGCCGGTGAGTTCATGTCTTTAGGTTTACGGAAATAATTTGTTATCAATATTGTGCTCTTTTCTCGTATTACCTGTTATTTTTGCAGCAAAATTCACCAATCTCATTACCGTTTGAGCTTATCAAGATGATCTTTTATCTGTGTGATGCCCTTACACGATGTCGCATTTGTTGCAGTAATAAACGGCTTTTTTTTAAAACAAATCTTTGGAATAGTAATTACATAAATTATTGCTACTCAGCGAAAAATGAACAATTAATTGATATCGAAGTGAATTTTAAAAGAGTTAAATTAACAAATGTAAGAACAAGTTTTGCAAGTGAATTAAGCATGGTTAGCAAACGTAAGTTTTAAAAAGTGGCAGCTAATGCATGTTACTAAGTAAACTTTATGAATTAAATACTAAGTATTTAATTTCTTGAAAAAATTTAGATTGACTAAAGAGTTGAGCAGCTGGGTTGATTTCAACACCTTTATTTAACAAGAGTACCAACTAAAGATGAAGCAAACAAAACCGTTCATTGTACCATTCTATTCTCATGGACACAAATATGTTTGATGAAATCCGTTCATAAACGTTCAAGAGAAAATATTTTAGGTTATGACACATATCTATCAAACTGTCACCAATTCTCCTGCAGTAGGCATAATTCGTATCACTAAAGCTATCCCGATGCTCTATAATATTCGGTCATTTTCTGTGTTTTATAAGACAATACATTACTGTTTTATCCCAGGAAATAGCTAAGTAAATTGATATATTATATTCACCAGATGCAATGATTAGTGAAATAATTTTGTCCGTAAGATAAAATTGAGTATTTCATAAATGATCCCAAAAAAAGTCTTGAAAAGACCAGAATAATATTACAGCAATGTGAAAACAATCCCGGTACAATCTTCAACAGTGCGATTTTTAGATCGTTGCAATAAGATAACAGCAGAAGAGGGCTTTTTGCTTTGTCACGAAAATTAGAAACCGTAAAATTATGTAGTATACGAGAAAAATTTTGCAAATGTTTACATTAATTTCTAGAGTAAATATATTGTAAACATTCTATGCCACATGTATACATCTGTATTTGTCTGATACAAAATAAATAAAATAAGTCTAAAAAATTTAAATTATGTCGAAAAGCTGCAAATATCAAAAAAATTCATTCGTTGAGACTAAAAGTGAAAACTGAATAACTCTGGAACTGAATGGTTGGAAGTAATAATTATTTTTATTTAAAAATTTGGTAAATGAAAAAAACTGTTCATCAATAAATAGATTTGGATTTTTCAGTCTTGTTTATACTTTGAGCGATTTCCTCACATTGCTAAATCTTTATACGCTCTATATCCAGAACACTAACATTAGCTAATGTTCCACCAGTGGATAAAATCTGCGCTCCAGCCAGAAGAAGCTGCTACAGCTAAGTAATGCATCTATTTTATTTTGAATTAAAAAAAAAAAAGAAGAAAAACAAAGGTAATGGACATTTGAAATTATGTTCTTCATGATAACTTCCATGCAAAGAAATGCGCAAGACAATTTAGAGGCTTCAGTTATATATAAAATATATAACTAAACTAATTTGATCATTTATACGCTTAGAATCGTAGTGCTACTGTTATGGAAGCAGCAGAAATAATGACTAATATGGAACATTTGAGTCATTTAACGCTTGCGAGAGCTTTTCTTAAGGTAAGTTAACAAAAAAAAAATTTGCAAAAATTCAGGTATAATCAAATTTATAAATTAAAACAAGAACATATTCTTTCATTTATCTGCACCGAAAAAAAGCGGAAATTTCAGCTTCGACAAGCGAACAAATATTTGAGCTCTTAAAAATATTCCATTCACTGTCAAGAATAACATTTGAAACATTAATTTTAAATGATTTCGTACAACTTGCAAATGTTCATCTATCGCCATCAGTAGCTTTGTTACCTTATCCCATTTATTTTCCTCAATGTTTAAAAATCATCTTTTTTCTTTTTTTTTTTTTTTTACAGAGGGCTAATTAATCTTTTATGAGAATTATCTATTAAAATTTCAGACCAATATTTTTAACTGACAACAGCAATCATTTTCGTAAGGGAGTTACTTAAATGAAATTAGAAATCATGAGTGTAGTATAATATAATATTTTGATGATCTCAATGAAATTATTGTGTTCGTTAAAGTCTTTCAAAGAACAATATCTGTAAATTCTTTGTTATTTTTAGGTAAAACGAATTGTCGTAACAGAATCAATCAAAATCGATCCCTCATGGTGAATTCACCTAATTCAATTTCTATGGAATTTTTTGACGTTTTCACGATGACAATTAGTTCAATTACTGATTGCAATTTAAAATGTAATTTTCTTTTTCAATCGAAAACACAAGAAATAAAATTACTGTATTTCAGCTACTACAACATGTGTGCTGTAAAGTACGACGTGAGATCACGTTCCAGCTTTAAATTTCCAGTTGAGTCTTGTATGTATTTTGACCAATAAGATGCCACCGTTGCGGTTTGGAAGGCGAAAAAATGATTGCGGTGTACTTCTCTGGAAAGGACATATCCTCATACGTAGAGAATATTTAAAGATAAATGATATAAATACTGATGGGATTATGTGACGTTTACTAATAAATAAACAAATCAATAAATCATGTCTGTTACCAATTTATCTAATGACAGTGATAGAAGATCAGGACAATTCAGGATAAAACTATCAAAGCAATCCACTATTAACTTGGCTTCACTTCTTACAAATATGATCCTAAGACTTCATACCACTGATAATTTGAAGCTTAATTTTTTGTTTTACTTCACATTATACGAGTAAGTCACTATGGTACAGTAAATGAAGACGAGAATTGAAATTTATATTGAGATAAAGTGCGAATGAATATTAAACATGTTTTAAAGTTATTAATTATCAGGCACACTGCGATCAATCAATGGGGAAGAAAACGTATGTTGGAAGTTGCAGAAAATATCGCTTTCATTGTTTTCGCATAGAGCAATAAATCTTCCGCAATTTCATCGTTTTTTTGAAATCTTTTTTGTTGGGAATTTGTAAATTTCGGATTTCGACTATTTATTTTTTTCAAACCATTCTCTCTTGTTAGAATGTTGAACTGTACAGAGACTGAAGCACAAATTGTTAATAAGTTGATTTGCCAAGTTAATTGCTTTGTCGATAAATATATCTGTAACAATAAATTAGTTAAGATTTTGCTGTTGTTTACTTACTAAACATACCATTCTTTCTGAACAGAAATTAATTTTTAGACGCTCTTTCTTTTCACATCTTTTCACATATCTTTTCACACTTACTGATTTTGTTTCTTTATCTATGTATCTTTTTTACAGGTTAAGATGATATCTTTATTCACTTTTAAGGAAACATAATGCAAGAGAATAAGTTCCGTTTTTCCAATTTTGACTTTTACATATGCAAGGATGTAAGAATATATGCTCCATCTAATTATTTTGGCTATATTATTAACTTCAGGCTAACAAAAAACTTTATTAAGAGTAGAGCTGTACAAGGGATAATTTTAAGTATCATCCACTTTTAATTCTCTTGTACACTATTGTCCCAGATTATGGCTGTCCCATACATATCCATTAGGAAGAAATTGTCCCCATCTATTAGAAAAAAGTTTTCCACATTTATTGCTGTGAAATATGAATCAAACTCGAAAAAACGAAATAACGGCATAAATATATTATTAGATCCTTCCCAAAAGATATAGATCCATAATTTAAACTTATTAATTTCAACTAAAACTTGTAATTTAACTTCCGTCTAATCTAATAGAATTGTTTTGAGACTGTCACATAGCTCTACCTGCACAAAAATTTGATCATTATCTTCAATATTGATGCAGCGATTAGAAACACTTTAAAATTTCCATGTTGTTTCACCTTAAACGATAATTTGATATACAGTATTATTTCCCTAACTTCTTTTCAAGTTAGGATGACTATTTATTAAAAAGTTTTCTGAAGTTCTACGTTCAATTAAGTTCAACAATATAAAAAGAATATTCGTTCAAGGATGCCACGCATCATGCATCCCACAACTTATTCGCACTTATTCTATGTAACAATGAACTCACCATTATAAAATTAAATGAGCAGTTTAACTGCTTCATTTTGAAAAGATTGATTAAATGATTGAAATGTTCATCGCAAGTATGATTATAATAATATCTTTTATAAATGATTATAACAATAATAAAGTTCAAGATATGAAGGAAATTGCTGGAGGTGCTACTGGTTTTCCAACTGAACCAAATTTAGAAGTTAGCAAAGAATGAAAAGAATCAGTTCTTTGATGATATATTAAAGCGAAACATACATTCTTCAAAAATGACTAGCTTTTTCAACCATTTCAAGGATCAGATAACGTCATCTAATATTCTTATCAGCAGTAGTTAACGATGATAAGCAACATCACTTGGATTTATCATTGTTTATCGATTATTGCAAAAGATAATTGAAATTTTAACAACAATATCGAATTGCTCCAATCAAACAGTTTGGGAAAGCCAATCCTCAATAACGATAGCAGCAATCAATTTTTGTTTCATATCAGAAAGATTGCGATCACAACAAACAGGTAGATTCACAAAAACAGAAGGATGAAACAGGAGATTATATCTAGCCAAATCAAATTTGTTCGGAAATTAATTCATGAAGATGAAATGTATCAGAGAGTATGAAATGACAATACCCATTGTTATAGTAATTATCCACCATTGCTAATCTTTCATCGTTTTTTTCTTCGCCGAGGGCTACCGACTGATTTAATTTAACGAAGCGGTAGTCTACGAAGATAGTCGGGTATCTATCATTTCATTTTACATATTTCCTTTTTATTTTTCAATTCTACAAATGCACCTTTTTTCCGACATTTTACATCGAATTGATTAATTAATTGCCATACCAAATAGCAAATATCTCTCATCACTAGCAGATTACTTCCCTTACCACTTCACCACATAAGCATCGAGATTTTCATATTTCTTTTTCTCACGGAAATGAATTACTTTTTAGCTTTTCTCTTCATTTATTGTACACTCTCTTCCAATTCCCATAAAAGTTCTTCGTAATTTATTTGTCAATATTGTCGGCTATTATTAGCTGCGCAAAACACACACAAAGAGTATGCACATAAAACTTATCGATATTCTTTCCAATCAAATAAACTGGATCTCAGGGAATAAATAAAACATTGGTGACATCCCAAGTAAATTAGGGATCTCACATTTTACTACCTTTCTTCCCCTTTATTAATAATAACTTACTGCCTAATTTTTGCTAACTTCAGAACTCTTTTGTTGTATTATAAGAATTAATTGTTCCTATATTTAAAAGAAGCGAAATATTAAATCATTTTTGCAGTTCAAAAATTGTTTTATTTAAGTTTTTATTACAATTTATTAGAACATTCAGGACGAAAAAAAAAATGAAATTAAGAAATACATAAAAATCAAAATTTTCTATTATTTCAGCAGCTCTTTTTTTTTTTACTTTTTTCAAAAAAGTGAAGAGAACAGCAAAAGTGTTAACCTAATTTAAATTTGATTGAAGAGAATAATTCCTAGACGGTATGTGTATACTATCGTCAGCTGTGCTTTATATATTCGTCAAATTCGTATTTGGAGAAGATTTATCATTAATGGAAGGAGCTTTTGAATTTGACTGTTCTCGAATACCTGCCACGTATTGCTGTACAGCACGTGTCCGAACAGTCTGTGAGACGCGATGCTCTAATATCCATTGTGATTCAGATTTTTATAGACAAGGTTTGTTTTCTTATCTTAATTAGCAATTTTTTTTATATGCGTGCAAGTGTAGTTTTAATAATTGCAAACTTTTTATTTACTAACTGCGCATAGCAAGAAGCATTATGCAATTGTATCCAACTCATTTCATAATTAGATTGGTAATAAATAACATAATTTGGAGAGAAAAATTTAATTTGTTTTTGAAAGCAAAAATAATTTTTTTTCAGTTAAAAATCGAGCAATGTAAGATATCAGTTGACGCTATAAATAGTTTATGACTAGGTGACATTAAAATATTACAAATAAACTTGTTAAATCAGTGCAAACCAAAGCACAGCGATAACTTAAAACAGTAAATTATGAGTATGAACTGTTTAAAATTTAATTTGATAAATCTATTTTTAAACTGACATGAAAATTTCATTTCATTACTTGCGAATGTCACCGTTTACTCATCTATCAAAACATCTATCACAGTTAATGAATCTATGAAGCATTCTATTAGAGGTTAGTTTCAAACTTGCGAAATAAATTTAATTCTATGATTAATCTAGCAATTTTGTCTCGCAAAAAAAGAAATATTCAGATAAGAAAATGAAACAGCTGATAGTTAGACCAGAAACGATTTACAAAAATGGTTTAAACGACGGTGACACAGCAAATTTGCGTGGTGACAGTGAAATGGTACTTCCTTTAAAATATTTTGTAGCTAAAAATATATTTAAGTATTAAAGTTAATATTTCTTGGTCATTAATGTAGCTCCCACTTTTCATTTTGATTTTCGAAGACTTAATAATTATTATTAATTATTAAATTATACCTCATTTCTTAAACAAGAAATTAAGTGCAGTCGGAAGGGGTTAGTGATTTTGAAGATCTTTAGCAGTTTTAAGAGTTGCATCATCCATGCGAGTCACATTTGTCATCTTAAATACTATAATGCATGTCATGTGAACAGCTATACCATATCATCGTCCATTCTTCATGTTTTCATCCTTTTCTACCTTATCATTTATCTCAACACAGTGACTAGTAAGTTTTTTCATCATTTTAATTTGTCATTGGAAAAGAATAAGTGCGAAGTTGTAAATCAAATTTGACATACAAATTTACAACATTGGTCAGTACTATCGATGTATTTCTGTGTAATTACTTCTGTGTATTAGAATATCACAGTAATAACTTATCTACCTGAATAACAATGATTATGATAATACTTATAATGTGATAGAAATTGATTCAAATAATGTGCAAATTTAAGCTCAACATCTGGAAGCATAGAAATATACGACGCCGTATCATAACATAAAAACGTATAATTTTGAGAAACTTCAGGAACGGTCAAGCCAAAAATCGCTGTCTCGAAATGTACTCAAAAAACGATACTTACCTGCTCCAACAAACAGTAACGAGAATGAATCACTGATAGGCATGTCAAGTAGTGAGGATGATAAAGCAACAGAAGATGTAGTACCGTTTGTCACAGCAGCAATATCATCGTCTAATTCTGACTTAGATTCCTCTAATACGTTAAATCCTCAATCACTGTTAACTGGAGGTAACAGATTATAATTATTTTCCTCTTAAAAATTTGAATATATAACTAAAGATTTTGTTCAACATAAGTGCACTCAATACTTTGAATACTGTGTAAAATATTGCGTATGCTTACGTTATGAATGATCAAATGATCTCTTGCATTTATTTACCGTTGTTTTCCCCCTTTCTATTACCTCGATTGAAATAATTAATAAACTACTTACAACTGTTTAGATATTCAAATATTAATCATTAAATAAATACTCCTATTTAGACTAATAAATTTGTTTAGTTCAGGAAGGCTTACAAAGACAACATTGGGGAATACGTTCGTTTAAAATAATATATCATGTAACTCCATCATTAAATTGGCTACACAATCGTAATTTCATGGGCTCTAATAGCAGCTTGGCGAAGTTGAATAAGGGTATGAGATTCTAGCAAACCACAACTTCACTTAATGAAAATATTAAGTTTAATTAACTTGACAAAAAAGTATTGGTATATTCTTAGTAATTAATTACTAATGACTAATGATAAATTACAATAATTGGAGCTCTAAAGACATAAAAATTTAAATGATTTTTTCAAAGTGAAACATTTACAGCAGAATGTGGCACAGCACCACATTTTTCACCATGTATGTCAATTTCACAAGCAAATATTCAATTTGAACAATGTTGTCGAAACAAAATGCTTCCAACGAGTTGTCAACATTCCTGCAAATATAATGTCAAAGAAAGTGAGGTAGAACATTTCGACTTTACTAGTAACAGATACCGTAGTAATTCGTGGTTGCTGTTATGCCTCAAATCTCATAAAACATTGTGAATTTTAAAATTTAAGATAAATAAGATTATCGGTGCAGGCTTTTGCGCAATTTTACATATCATACCAATCGCTCAGTGTGCTTCAAATGGACGCGACAACAGCGAATGTTGCAAATACAGACAAGTAGCAACCAAAAGGTTATATATAAATCATTCAATAAATGATTTAAATTAATAGGATCCGTTCATGTTGATTTGCATGAGAAATTATTTATATCCTTAAACGATGTAATATGAAACTTAAAAAAGAGCAGATGACTTATTTCTAGAAACACTGATACGAATAAGTTATGACAAAGCCATGACAGTATCACTTATTGTAGCATTAGTTTGTAAATAAAGTCGTGCAGTTATAATCAGGTGAATGACAAAATCATGATTTGCAGCGCGCCGCAATGCGAAATATTTTGCCGTTCCGGACAAGAAATAGCAAGAGTTGGTTTGGAACACTTGGTTTGCCGAAAAGCAATGAATGAAATCATTGCTTGCCACTTATCCGGTTTAAGAAATTAGTACTGCTCGAACTTCAATTGTGCTTAAGCACAACTTTGACCAAAAAAAAATATTGTAAAACCGGAACAACGAGTGCCAATTAAAAAACATCGGCAAATTTATTACCAAATAAATTCAATAGATACTTTTATCAATGATGTGCCGCTTTTAGTCTCGGTCTCCTTCAGAAATTGGGGCTTAACCGCCATAATACGCTCTTGCATACCACAATATGATTTTAGCTGTAAGGCTTTTGTTAACATTCCAACATAAATCAGATAGGACAGTTTATCTGCAAATATCAAAATATCAGTCCCATATAACAAAAAAAAAAAAATACTTCCCAAACATGAAACTACCAGCCCCAACATGGTTATATGGTTTTGTCAGTTATTTGATTATCGACAACTAATGCAAAGCTTAATTCAGAGCTCACCTTTTCTAGTTTATATATTGCCTTTGGGAAACCATAATTGATTAACCACTTACCATCGTTCGCTTTTCGAACTGTTGACGGTTCACAAAAGGAAATACACAGTATGATAACTTTACTAATTTGATCTCAAAAAAGATATTCTTAAAATTTTACTGCTGTTGGACTTAGTTGTGAGGACTGCATGTAATTATATTTTATTGTAAAAATTTTCAACTCTTCAATGACCAATTCTAAAATAAAAGTGACTCGTATCATTAACAAAAAACAAAGAAATTGATAGCTAAATATCAAATATAAAAAACTCATTTTAGTTACTTCTAAACTGATTTTTTTACATTTGTTTTCATTTTTTGGTAGATACTCTTAACCGAATACTGCGTATGTGATTGGAACGGAAGGAATAAGTATACACAACAAAAGAGTTAATTTTATTATTCTTTTACATATATACATATCATACAAGGGTGAGGTAAGACGATATTTCTAATTCTCACCTGAAATGGTCATCGGAGCTTATGCAAACGAAGAGTATGTCGCATCCAACTATATAACCCAAATGGAAGTTTTCTCTAAAAAACTCTATCCCAATTTCGATAAAAGGGCAAAACAAATCGCTACAGAAACATGGAACTAAATAAGGTGCTGAGATAAACCAGTTATTAGCGGTCAAATTTTCACCGTAAAATACAATTGTTCATGCTAAAAACTTATCTAGAAACCATCATTCTATGTCATTCCATGAAATTTTTTAATGTGAAAGTTTTAATATGAAAATTCACCATGTTTAATTTATAGAATCGCTTAGAATAATACAAAATTGATATCAGCAATTCAAAATGCCTTCCAAAATTCCCAGACCTTTTTAAACTAAAAAAACAATGTAGACTGATTCAAAATTTTTCCACGAAAATTAAATAATAGGAAATTAATTTCGACTAGTTTCATTCAAAATCTCTAATATTCTCAGAAACAGATTAATAATTTCTAAATACAACGATACGCATGCTTTGATATAATCTTCAGGTGAAGTGTGATGCATGATACGATCAATATCGAATACCAAATATATGGAAAATAAAACAGCACCAAATGCAGCCAACAAAAAAATCAAATAATGCTAACGGTATAAGTAGCTGTAAAAAAGGAAAAAATGCTATTTCGTTGTTTAAATATTACAACTACTTCTGAAAATAATTGGATAATAGCTTTTTGAAATATCTATTTGTTTCCAAATAAAAAATCACCTCATTATAACGAAGTAATAGATTAAACTGGTAATGCTACAATATGCATGCATGTAATATCAGCAAATTGTACTCAAATAAAATTCAGCTGAAATTAAAAATCACTTTATTGCTTATTGCACTAGGATTTAGATGGAAATAGTTTCTAACAGTTTCTACTAAAAAGAAATGCTTACATGCACAAAGATAGCAGTCAGGAAAATCATGGAAATACTGAATAACGCAGCCCAATGGCTTTGGAAATCGCGTTTTGATTGAAGTGTATAAAAGAAAAGGCCAATAACAGTCAATGCTGTTAGACCAACTGCCTCAATTACGATCTTTACGTCAAAGAAAGAAAGTGAAACTTACCGTAGTACAAAAACCCCATAAATGTATATTTTCATGCATTTTTCGATGTTCTGAAGACCTGAAATTTATACCAACTACTTTAAAAACATTGGCACTTCTTATACTAACAGATATGATAATGCATGCCACTAGAGGTATTAGCTACTTCATGCTGGAACTTAATATAATTTAAGTCTCATCTAAAACTTAATACTTTGCAGCAACGTAATTGCTGCACAATGTTAAATTTGAAAGCAATTCCAAGTTTGCCTAAATATTCACGACGAGGACAGAATTTAGCAGAATACCCAATTTTAAAAATTGAGCTCGCATAAACTAAAGCTTTGATGCCATCTCTTTTTCAAATAATATTCCATTTAAATAAAGATGACATACATTCATTATCACTGATTTAATCCCTTTCTAGCTGGTCATCAGAACAGAAAAATTACAAACACAATGGTCAACAATGAATCTTCTTGGCTGACTGCACAAAATATTGCTTTGAGACCTTACCAATAGCACCTACAGTAATGGATTGCATAATAGTCCAAAACACCAATAACATGTAATTGAGAGGTACTGAACGGGCGTGAATAAACATTGCGAAAAGTAAAATGAATGAGCCGATGAGTGAAACAAATGCAATCCACAACCTAAAACACGCTGGGATACATTTTCTTTTACGCTGGGATCTTTTTTTTTCTTTTATTCCGAAATGAAATCAAGAACTATACTGAACATATGCATGCACCATCCTTCTGAAACCGACTAATCCTTTTTTTGAATTAATTTTAATATTTTCAGTTTGATATGGTATCTTTTCCATATCCTGATTATTGCGGCACTTTTTCCCAGTTTCCAAAGGAACGAATTTAGCCATTTTATTAGCTAATTCTTTTTTTGGACCAAATTCTAAATTCCTTTTTTTAGCAACTGTTATAATAACAACTCAGAACTGATTAGTCGGAAAAGTAAATGAGACAGATAAACAACTACAGGTCTAAATAGCATTGAAGCAACAAATGCATTGATCATATTAATCTCTTCTAAAGTTTCACTGTCAACCAGTTCTTGAAAATATTTGAACTATAAGTGCTTGAAAAAAAAAAAAATACTGAACGAAGTCAAACAAACATTGCTGAACTTAACGTGAAAACATTGAGGAGAAACAATGAGTTCCTATCAATATAGACATGTCATAAATTAATTCAAAAAAAGAGAACTCACTGTTGTTGCAGAAAAAGACGAATTTTCAACGTTACATACAATGCCATACAAAATACAGCTGTAATGAGTAGCTGCAAAGATAGTATACCAAATACTTTTCGTAGAAATCCTGGAAGTTATCTAAATTACGAGAAAGTCTGAATAAAACAGCATAAGATTCTTTAACTCGTCCTTCATATATCAAGAAAAATTGTACACAGTATATGTAAACAAAACAGTAACATTTACAGTTATGATAACAGATAGAAAAAACTGATAGCATTTTTTACTACTTAACCTAGGATTTCTGTTATCTACAACTAAACCGGTGACAAATCATTCGAAATATTCTAATGATGAGACAGGGAATAAAACATAACAAGCAAGATGATACCTAATCTAATAGCGACACCGACACTGACAACAGGTGTAAAATTTGCAGTCGCCTTGGCAAAATTAAAATCAAAAAACCAATGACGTTGCCATGAACGATCCTGCAATGTCCATTCCGCATCCACTGCTTCCTTATAACTGGGCGGTGAACTAAGCTCGATATTTTCCTCCAGCAGTAATGGTACTGTTGCTGACATAATTCCGTTAGATAACTGAAATCTCACGAGAATTACTCTCTCCTTCAAAGTATTCATTTCAAATTCTCCCTCTCATATTACTCTTACTTTCCAGTCCTCATCACTTCACACCTTCGTTGTCACCCACAACCCACAGAAAACTCACCGCACATAAACCAACAGTCCACCCTCCTTACCAACCACCAAATCTCTTCCCGCACCTGTAACCATTCTCCAGGCGCAGTTGGTCGTTCCAGAAATCGTTACTTTATATTACAGCTCGATTCTATCAGCTTATGTTACTTTCCTTTAAAACCAAAAGCCAAGGTAATTGATATTAGGATTAATCGGAAGATAACTTATCGAATCTTACGTGGTCCATTGCTCATTCTGTTTCATTTTTTCGTCTATTCCATCCTATAGTACATACTATTTTCGGAAATTCTAGCAACTAAAACTTAATATTTCAATTTTATTTTGCCTGCAAGGAAAGAAGAACGATTTATTGAAGTGACGAGCAATAGAGAACTATGGCAAATAACAACACAGATGGAATTAACAAAATCACAAAATGAATTAAAATTTTTATTCATATAAGCTCTTTCTCTTCTTGTAGTAGTAGATGCTTAGTTCATAATAAGATCAGATCTCACTTTTCTTTTCAAATTAAATTATGAATTAAATAAATGCAGAGTGAAAGAGCATAACTTTCAGTGAATGATTTCTTTTTGCAGTGTCAAGGAAAAAAATTTAATTTATAATGAGCAAAACGAAAATTTTAGGTTTCAGTTATCAAAAAAGCAAATTGCTTTTACAAATTGTTTTCCATTTATCTTCATTTAAGCATCCAATTCCTGATTGCCATCTCTTTTCCATCCATTTTTGTAATTTCTGAACTTCTACTAACAACATTTCGTCGCCCGCATCTTACTGAACGTAATTCATCGGAATTTTCATGCCGAACAATATCACAATCACAATTTTCATTGATTTTTTAAAAATCTTTAACCTTTTTATCATTGTATAGAAATTGTGAGGATGAATTTCTTTCTTCCATTCTGCAATTATTTCAATATTCATTCACTTTAAAAAATGCTTTTATTCAACTAATTCCTATTCTTTTGAAAGATTGATTACTCATTTCGTAAAGATAGATCTGCTAGATTATTCAAATTTATTTAATTTGATTTTCTCCAAAGGGTGACATACGAATGTCCATCAGATTGTCAAGAGAAAAGAAAATCCTGTATTTCTAATTTCAGTTCGTTTTCAAGTCTTTGAATAATTTTCGCAAAATTACCAGAATTTGGTTGTAGTCTTATAATAAATATCCTGCAGATTCTTCATTGCTCTCATCTAAAGTAAGAATCTGCTTCGATTCATTGTCAATCGCTTGCTGAATATGATGCCTATAATTGCATTCAAAATATTTCTTTTCCTCAGTATCCTATTCAATTTCCCGAAAACATCCAATTTAACACAAAGTTTACAAGTCGCTGTACTAAACCCGCAAATTTTGCGCTCAATTCATGAAATTTAAACAAAATGACCTCATCAGAGATGCAGACGACCCTTCATCACCCTTATTTTGTAATTCCGGTACGTTAAGCAAACTATAAGCAACTAATTAATTTCGTAACTGAAAAAAAAATTCAAAACTATCCCAATTTGTTAAAGATGATATTTTGCCTAATTTTAAAAGATAATCAAAATATTTCATATTAATCAATTGGCCCTAAAATTGGATTGCGTTTGAGCTGGAGACTTATACTCAACCGTTTATAAATATGAAAATAAAGAATAAAATGGAGTGATCGTTTCCAATTTTTCAAATTTGCAAAAATGCACGAAGAATTTTAATTGTTTTTGAAAATGAGACAAAATCTCCTTGAAAGCAGAACTGTTAATTTTTCATGGCATATTCATTATTTCAACTATTGCTTTTTCAACTTTGATTAGATTTACTTTAATCAAATTAAAGTTAAAGCGCATGAAAGCAAACCCTTCTTCTAACTTATTGACCCAATCCAACGAGGTTAGACCAATAATCGCTGATAGTTCCTGTTTATGTGATATTCCTGCACCAACTCTGTAAATTTTCTGATTGAATTTTTTAAATGACTCAAGCAGTTTTAAACATATGAGAGAAAATTGAAATTTATATCGAAGTAACTTTGTCATATGTCTAGTAGGACGAATTTCACAGTATTGTCTTCATTATTAAATTTCGAATTGAATCGTTCTACACTTTTTAGCGAACCAATTTCATTTGTTCTACAGAAAAAGAGTATCATCTTTGTTAAATCTCGTAGAAAATATGACTAATAAATGGAATTAAACTTCTGCAGATTATGCAATGCATGCCCTGCATTTTTTCTTTTCAGCCTTGACGTTATTTTATGCTTGGCTTTTGGTACTTAGTTGATCTATGTAACATATGCTGCTAACGAATAATATATGTGTTTATGAATAGTTTACAATTCGCTTTTATTAAAATTGCCAAATCTTTTAAATGTGTTTTCCTCCACGCCTTTATTTGTTATCATTTCTTTTCCTTGTTCTAAGATTGTTTCTATTGGATTTGCTGATAACTTGATAGAAGCATCTTTTACAACTCCTATTGCTACGCTGAAGAAAAAAAATAGAAAATCTTTGAAAATTCTTGAGCTTAACTTAAAATACTATCCAGAGAAAAAAAAACTAGACAAGAGTAAATTAATGAAAGTATAAAGTTGGGTTGATAAGTGAAACAATCAATATGATAACGTATACTTAGGTTTGTCTTAAAAATTTGTTGGATTTATTGTGCATGAACGATTAGCTGCGAATGATACAGTCAATTAATCATCTTCTATATGCAAATTTGCATAGATGATTAATAATAGATAGATCGTCACGTGAGAGGTGAGATATCGGATAATCAAATAGGAAGTATTATTGCTACAATATGAAATAGTATAAATCATAGCTAAATAAATCAGTGTGTCAATTAAACTGATTTTCTGGTTAACTTTTCTTGCAATTTCTTATGGAAGCTGTGAAATTAATCCAGTAAAGAAATGGATGAATGAAATAAAAAGAACAGTTCTGAAAGCATTAATAAGTTCACTTTCTGATAGCAGATGATAGATTTCTGGGTAAATTCGAGCCAACAATCGAATGACTCGACTGAAATATCCTTTGGTCATTTACTTCAGCCATCCAGGCTCGTCGGCAACGAAAATAACAGCATATGTTGTAATTGAATAGTATTGTGTAACTAATTACAAAAATCCTAAAAAAATTTTTTACTGTAGTTTTTACTTCCAATTTAATAATTTCGAATTTATTGAACAAATGGATAGAAATTTTAAAAGGGAGAATTGATACGTTTGTTTATTAAGAAAAATAATTTGCTGCGTTACTGACTTTAATTTGCACAGTAATATTTGGTCTGATTACCATCCAATTTCTCAAACTCAAGAAAACTTGCTAAAAAAAAAAATTGAAAGAAGAGATAATTACACTATGTTCACACAAATTACAATAAGGCATCGATCGGTAGGATTTTCACGAATTAATTTCTGGATAGCAGCTAATTGCTTTTTAACCTCTTCCTCGCTTCGTGGCATCACAACTCGGATTGTTTTTCCGAATAATTTCCATGTGTATGAGTGCTGAAATTAAGGTAAGTCTTTGGAATTTAACTTTCTTTTTGCATTATAATTCATTAAATTAGTACAATTTTTCTAGGTGAACTCAATTTGGCAAAGATAATGCTTCAAATTTGCTTTGGACAGTGGTGGCTTACTATTATGAGAGAAAAAAATTTAAGTTTAAACTTTTTTTCGGAAGGAAACACCTTGCCATCAAAAAATCCTGCGGTTGCCCAAAAAGTTTTGTTGTATACTTCTTCGACTAATCGTTTTACTTTTATCCATATTTGATTAATTATTCCTTTTGAAGACGATTGTTTCGACTCATTCTTATCTGTGCTGAAATTTAATTTAAGCAAGCACTTTTTAAGTCTGATAAATTGTTGAAATGATCTAACTGTAGCTTAGCTTAGCTTCAAAATTAAAATAGTAATGAAATTATTTCCATCGTGATGGGAAAAAAATTTATAAAAGTATCAAAGTCAATAAAATTTCAAAAATTTACTCACTAAAATCACAAATACTAATGTTCTATTTATAAAAAATATTTTATGTATAATACATTCTAAATATAATTTAAATAATATTTTGTGAAATGAGTCAAATTGCTCATTAATTAGAGATTTAAAAAAAAAAAGAAAACACAACCTATTAAAGTCCTCTTTTTTGGTTTGCAAAGCCTTTTTTGATGATACAGTGATTATTTCAGCGGCAATAGCTAAGATTATTGTCAAAAGCCATAAGTTCATTCTTTGGACCGAATATTCATCGAGTTGAAATGTTGAGATTTTGTTAATTAATTGTTGTATCCTTATATAAGCAATATATCTTTGGCCCCAGCATTTAGCAATTGCTTTCTCTAAAATTAATAATGTGCAATGATGCAATAATTTAATCAGATTTATTTTGAAAATTGTATTCAACTAATCAACCGAAAGCGATAAAATTATAGAAGTTGCGAATAATTTAACCTCAATCCTAAACGTTACAATCCAAAAAAAAAAATATAACAGAATGTGCAGAATTGATTAGCAGGCGATTAGTTAAGGATCAATGAGATCTTATTATTCAGTCATTCTGTATATGTAGTTTGCATCGATCAAAGTTAGTTTTCTTACCGCCAAAATATATATTACCTCGTGGAGAATCCGTGATGATTCACAACAAGTAAGCGATATTTCTTGAAAGCTTCCAAGCAAATAAAAGTGAAATAATCAAAATACAATAAAAAAAAAGATTCATAAAGTTCGACTTGTTGCAAATGGAATTTCATTTCTCATTGCAAGTTAAAATTTATTTCTTCATTTTCAACAAAATATTGTCAATGAAAACTTTAATGCCAAGCATCAGTCTTACTTTTTAATAAATATATTGCTGGAATCAGCTGACAGAAATTTGATAGGAAAAAAAGTATTATAATATACAAAAATAATGTCAGAAAGAAAGAACGCAAAATCTCACTACTGCTGTTCATAATTGAATATTTTACATGTAAAAGGAACTGTTAATCATTAATCATTTTCTTGTGCAAAAACCATATTTCAATTTAAAAGTGAAGTTTTTTTGCAAAGAATTAAGTTTAAGGAAAAAAAAAATTCTGAAATGATACGAAAAGTTTCATTAAGCAAAGTATCTATAAATTTGGAGCATTTAATTGCATTGAAAATCTTGCCAGATTTGAAATAAACACTATGAACAATAATGGAATTTTGGGAATTCTAAAAGGGAAGTGGAAAATAAATTACTACCTAAAATACGAATAGTAGTGCTATTTAAATATTAACACTACAGTTTCAAAATTACGTAAATTAATAAAAGGCGTCAGGAAGTGTACTATGCTTCCGGAATGATAACACTATTAATAGATCTCATTTCACTTAAAAGCATTTTTAAGCATATAACTAGAATTCTAGGTGTTACTATACATTCTAAATGTTTTAGTACTGTACGAGGCGAATATTCTTTTTTTTCGAAAATTTCCAAACAGATTCGACAACAGTAGATGAAAAAAACAACAGTTCATTTTTTAAAAAAAAGAAGAGAAAACACAATTATAAATACTAAATGAAAGGAACAATGCATCTGAAGAAAATTGACGACCTTTCGCCTCAATTTACATTTAAATTTTCTTTCACTTTTCGTTTTTTGTTTTTCTAATTTTCTTAATTGGAAATTGTTATTCCTTTATAAAACTAGACTGTTCAACATATTGCATGTGATAAAAAAATATCGGATGTCGATATTAAGATGAAAAATTTCTTTTTTTTGTAAGAAAACATTTTGAACAGCTCAACAAGTCATATATATTATCTCCAAAATAAATTATAAATATTATAAAAATTGTTTCAGTTTATTGCAGGCAAATAGTGAAAGATCCAATATTATTTCCATAAAAGCTGAAGCAAAGACCCGATGTGTTTATGAAGTTTATGAATATCTTGGAACAGATCATATCTACATAATTCATTATTTTCGAGAGTTCAAGCGGATATCGTTCCAGTATACGATACCTTGTTTTTTTCACAGATCCAAATCAAATCTACAAATCCTCGCGTGGAAAATTTAATTCTCCTTTAGTTCTGTTGAAAAATTCTTATGCCAACTTAACTGTGCCCAGAATCAACTCTGGCCACTTTTTTCTCATTATCTAACAAATTTAACTTTCTATTATTATCAATTATCATTTTTAACACTTTTGGATTACTTTGATCGAAAAATCACCTTCATATTTCGATTTTCAATCCTTAGTATCAAAACTAAAAAAGCAAAAGGCAAAAAAAAACATTCATTTCAGAAAGCACCCATAATGTAAAATTAAAATTTAATGTACAGACGCTTTGAATTAATCAATTTAATAACGATCTAAAATGTGACCCATAACATCGTTGTTAGCATTACACTTTTATATGATGAAACATTGAAAACAGAAAACGTATGGTTCAGAGAAAGATACTACTACTGCGGAAGGTTACTGACATTGTTTGTTTGAACTGTTGTCGATTGCACTCTACCAAAGCCGTAGATCTTGTGCATCATCTGTTTCTCACTTTTACTATGCAAATAGTAAAAAGTATTTTTGATGTGATTATCGATTGTAGAAATAAAAATAAGCTAAGAGTTCAAAATCTCTTGATGAAACGATGACTTTAGAGATGTTTAAAATACAAATATCAAAGAATTGTTTTTGTTCATTAGCAATTCCCCATAAAAAAATGATCATTTTTGAATGTATAAAGTTTTTTGAATTCGTTCAGGAAATTACAAATGGATAAAAAAAAGATCAGTTATCGTAATGTTCAGCTTTCGGAAGATAAAACGTGCCAGTATTGGATGATTTTAATTAAAACAGAAATTTGCCGAAATTTGGATGAATTTCCTGTAAAAACAACTAGAAAAAATTTTTTTCGTAACACTTTTTCTTTTATAAAAAATCACGAAAAGAACAAAACAATTAAATAAAGCACTAGGTAATGTGGTAAATCTAGGAAAAATATGAAGTTTAAAAAAAATAAACAAATTTCTAAACAATGTAAGAACCAAGTAAAATTAATACAACAGGAAGTAGTATATGATAGCAAATACTACAGCCAATATCGCAACAAAAACCATCGGATCCATCGTAGTAGAGTCACTAAATTTAAAATATTTCATTACTATTATATTCTCACTGTTTTACTATAACTAAGGACAATACTGCAGTTGATATGTACAAATTGAATTCAACGAAATCTCTTCTTTTCCATGATAACATTTCATAAATTCCGTTTCTACTGAAACTACCTTTTGTTTTCAGCTTCAATGGTTTCTTTCTCGAATAATTCCTCTCCATCATTTGAATAAGTCAGCTTTTCCTCCTGAAGTTAATGACGATAAGGATCTCATAAAAGCATGAATATCAATAATTAATCATCCACTTCGGTAAAATCTTTAAAAATTCTATCCATTGTCTTGCTTATGAACCAAAATGAATTTAAATGCATTTTTTGTTATATTCAAAAACAAAATTTAAATTTAACGCATAACACACAAAAATTTTATGATTAGGAATTTTGCAAGAATTTCGGTAATAAGCTAAAATAAATGATAGAGAAATCACTTATGGTTTATTTGAAAAAAAGGAAAAAAATTTGAAAAGTATTTTTTTACATCTACTATTTCGGCAACCAAATATTTATCCTTCATAAGTCGGGCATCTGTTGAATGTCCGATATCTTCATACTGTTCAGTAGCATCATGACCAGCCAATTTCAGCAAAACTTCACTACCACCCGGGTGCTGAAATTATCGCAATAATCTGCGATGACAATGCTGTGGAATATGGTAGAGCAGTAACATGATAGTAGATAATTTGTATGTACATATGAAGGAAGATGATGCGCAAAAGCATTAAAACTACTGGAAGCAAGCTTGCCTGATCCAGAAATGTGGTCAGGTCATAAACTTGGTTCTCGATGCACATCCATACACTACTATTAGTGTTGTGTTCTGCCACTTGCGCCCGTGTTACCCTTTGCAAATCAGCCATTTTGCCTATAAAAAGAGCCATTTTTAAATATGTCAAATTTTGAGAACTCCACCATCTTCACTACCGTAAATTTCGGTTTTTTTTTAATCATCATCAACAAAATCTAACAAAATTAAATTGATTTTAGAACAACAGAAGATTTATATTTGCAAAAATTGCGCTGCAAACACCTAAAAAAGAAAAAAACAAATTTGTTTGTAGAAAATAAAAAGAAAGAAGAAATCTGTTCAGTCTTGATACAATCAAAACTAAGCACTGGTCTCATCTGAATTAATTAAAATATGAAATTCAAAATCTGAGTAAATTAATTGAAGAATAATTTCTAATAATGATATTAATAGTGAACATTTCATAATATTTCCAATGTTCATCGAGGTGCTTCTTTAATTTAAAAAATGAATTTCAGAGTTCACTTTACTTCAGAAAATTGCAGTGAAATCAAAGTTACCATAGTGATATGAGGAAAGTGACATATATCTTCCAAGCATGAATAATTGAAGTAATCGAAAGCATTCATTCAGTTGCATTATATAATGTCAATATTATTCATAGATTAATGACATTAAATGTCAGATTTTTTTCCAAAAAACAAGAAAAAAAAACCAAAAAAAAGTTGGGAAGAAGACAGAAAACATGTGCAGAAATGCCGAAAACTAGCACACAGATAAACAACGGTACTGTGACATGAAGGGTGAAAATAGGAACGACAAAACAATGTCACTAAATGAGCATCACATTGCATAATACACTTTCTTAGCAAAAAAGAACAGTTCCAAGTAACCGGAAAGAGAGAGAGAGTAAAACGGAAAGAATGAGAGAGTATTTGTAATCTTGATGAAGGACAATATTATCTATATTAAGGAGAACTAGGAAAACATGTAATGTAATTACTTCATCAAGCTACGCACAGTAAATATGTATGCCTGTGTCATCGTAATATGAAAAAAGAAAGTTATTAAAACTCTTTTAAAAATATGGAATATTCAGAGAATCAATATCGGAAATTTACAGTATATGAAACATTACATTCATATCTGTGCACACCTGAATGATTCCGGAATAACTACTAACAATAGTCGATCGTAAACTGATTAAATATATTGACACTGATATTTCGTGATACAATTGATATTATTGTGATAAGAATGGCATAATCAAATATGACTTTAATCTTCATTTTCTGTATATAATAGTGTCCACTAATTAAATATTTAATAAATATTTAATTTTTAATGCTTAAGAAAGATGAGTGCAGAACTATAGCTTCCATTTCAGCGTATTTGAAAGAAGTGCTTGTCGCTTTTGCATAAAAATGGGTGAGTGAACCATAAAAAAATGGGTGAGTAAGTATATTTTATTTGCATCTAATTTCATTACAATTTTAAAACTTATTTACTGAATTGAGAAACAGTAAAAAGTTTGATTCAAAAATCGTTTAAAATATTTTATCACCGATTTCAATCAAAAATGCAAAAACAAAACTAAACTAATAGGAGAGAAGGAGAGAAAAAGAGAGAGGAAGGAGAGGAGAGAAAAGAGCAAGTTAATGAATAAATTTGATAATTTTTTTCCTTCTCAAATTGTCCACCAAACAATTTTTCATTATTTATTGACTACTTTTTCCCCAATCCAACACAGCAAATTACATTTTAAACAAAACAAAACGATTTACGGAGTTATCACACCAACAAAGATCTTTAAGTCACATGAGTTAAATTTAATAAGCGCAATCGTCCTCGTCACCTTTATGACCTCACAAAGCAACTTTTTGTTGTCATCAATGATGATCTAAGCACTTTTAAAATTAGCACAGATGCACTTTTCCTCATCAATAATTTGAATCAAAAATAGCATAAAGTTTTAGAAATTAGTTCTTATCACAGTTTTCCATCGTTAATAAAGAAGATATATAGAGGGAAAAAGAGACAGAGAAAGCGAGAGAAGCAGGGGAAAGAGGTAAATAGAAAAGATTTTGATGATAAGTCGATAAGGCAATCATCAGTTCACTGCTCGCACATATCTGACTTCAAAATGCAGCATTGATTACTCTCTGTCATGCAAATATTTCCGAACTGAAAGAGTTAAGCGACTAGGACTGAAACCTTCGAAGGAAGTTCGTCTTTCGGTGCCTGTCCAATCCGAAAGGTAATAATTTAGCTGGTAACTCATGTCACTTTCGATGATAACAAACACTCGCAATATGTTACCGAACTATATTCCATTACTCGTAAAATATTGACACTATGAATTCGTGCATTTCTATATAACATACATGCACGTCCGTACGTGTGTATGCACGTGTGTGTACGAATGTTGCCTCTAAATCAGCTACAAACGTTCCTTCGACGGCCTGAGAAAAGTAGAGTGCTGCAACAGGTCAAAGAGTTTTCGATGAAGACATGGGACGATGGATTTTCCAGTTATGGTTGCAAAATGAGGGTGGGAGTAGGTTGAGCTTCCGGGTTGTCCTTATTCTCGTCACAGCGTTGTTAATGCTGTCTCTTTCACGTGTCACTCTGTCACTTCACGTCCTCACGTGGTTTTATTGGCATTGCTTCAGTTCTTCGGTTATATTGTATGTATATGTGTTGAAAGATTAAATCTATGAATTTCAGGTTAGAATTCGATGTAGTATATGGAAAATCTTTTATAACTCAATTAAAATTAAGTGCGAAACTTTGTTACACTGATGTATTGCCCTGCTGAAGGCACCAAGCATTTTATTCATTAATATAAAAAGTTGAATGACTATTATTTCAGGATATGGCTTCAGATTTTGGTAATCCGTTGAAAAAATTCAAGTTGGTATTTCTGGGTGAACAGAGTGGTAAGTATTGGATGTCATTCTTTCTCCCCTTTTACATTTCTGCAACTGCTCTTGTTTTTCTACTTTTAATATGCAACTCATTGCTGTGTAGCTGCATTACATTGTAAATCATTTCAGTTGGAAAAACATCACTGATAACACGATTTATGTATGACAGTTTCGATAACACGTACCAAGCTACTATAGGAATCGATTTCTTAAGCAAAACTATGTATCTCGAAGATAGAACGGTACATACTTTGAAAACTCTCGAAGTTTCTTCGCGAAATACTATGTTCATATATCATTATCAACATGCATTTTTTAAAGATGTCCATGTTTCTTAGTCACAGATGCAAAATGATGGTGGGGGAGGACGTAATATGTATGATTGATATATTCTTTCTTTTCCGGGAAACCTAATTCATAGCGAATTCTATCCAATTTAGAGCAAAAGTCTTGCCGGCTTAACATGTCATACGACTGTCACGAAAGCATAAATTGTGATGCATCAATATATTTCAAATTGTGACTATCATGCATTAGATTTGGTTAATATTTGACATTTTTTTATTCGTTTTACGTGTGAGTTTTGACGGACAAGCTTGATATCGTAATGTTGGCCAATGAAAAGAAATTTTTTATGTAATTAGGTCATCTTTAATATTTATTGCTCAACATTTTTAGTGGTGTACTGAAGCACAAATCTGATTTAAAAGATTGTATACTTTAAAATGATCATCTTTGTTTGTCGTGAAAGATTTCTTATACACGAGCAGTCCATTTCATTCTCTTGCTTGCTTGCATAATCTTTTGTACCCGACAGTAATGGGTAAGAAAGACTATAAGTATTATATAAATTGTTTTGACAAAAATTAATAATAAAAATTAGAACATGATGCTACAGTAATAATAGCATTTTTACTCCAGGTTCGGTTACAACTTTGGGATACGGCAGGTCAGGAACGTTTTCGATCCTTGATTCCATCTTATATCCGTGATTCAACTGTTGCTGTCGTCGTATATGACATCACAAGTTGGTTTTGCAATTTGTAGTATTTTGACTGTTTTGAGAATAAGTATCTGTTCATGACAGTCATGAACTACTACTACTATTTGCTGTATGAGATAGAGTCATCAGCTTTAGCGTAGTTTACCACGGTATGTTCTGCAGCGTATTTCACACTTGTCTTTCAATAATGTGTAATTTACGAATGAGTGTCGTTATATTTGGGATGGCATTTTTGTAGATTCTGGAAATATTTTTCGTAGAAAAGATTAACCCCTAAGTTGAAAGTGAGTGCTATATTTTTATTTTCAAACTTTTATATACAAAGTTTTTTTATCCCGACTAAATTTTTTATTTGCCACTGAATTATTCCACTATATTTTCATTTTCAAAAGTTTTCATTTTTTTTTTTGGCAATTCTTTTATTCTTTCTATTTTTTCTTGATTTTCTTCGACGATTAGCATATTTAAATGAGGTTGTTTGTTTCGTTTTCTAATTAGATTTCTTCTTTTTTTTAAACATTGCATTTCTTTCTTTTAACCTCTTTTTTGCTTCCGTCAGCTTTGCTGCATGCTTTTTAAGTGCATTACTTGTGTTACCCAGTTCTGTCAGTGCAGACATCTTTAGAACAGATTTAACTTTTTTTGATCGACTTTGTTTTGCATCTTTTTGAAATATCTTCTTGGGGTTTTTTTGGCATTTTGTTTCACGGTGGCTTTGTGACTTCACTTTTCGAGTCCAGCGCATTCTTTTGGAATTTTTTTGAGCTGTTCCCTCAACTCTCATATCTCTCACATGATGTTGAGAGCGGTCATTTTCTGCATACGATGTTTTTTCTAGATTTTTGTAAAGCAGAATTGGATTCTTTCCTGTAAGATTTTAACTTCAATATGCTCATGGAATAATTGCACGTATAGCTAATAAAAGACGAGAGAAAACAGTTAGTAATGTAATCGATGTTCTCTAAAGTATACACAATGGTATAATGTTGATATATAAACGATAACGTCCCTAAAATATTTGGAAAAATATTTAGTGGGTACCTGAATTAGCATTCTTTATTCGGAAAAAATTGAAAGCGCTTTTACTCCAATGACCAACTTTCGTCAGCGCTGTCTCACCAAATCCCTTTATTTTTTTACCAGTGTTATCCGCATGTTCGATGAAGATTTGTTGGCTTTCAACTTTGTTTGGTGATGTGACATATGCAGCTTTATGAGTTGGATCTGGTACGATGTTATGTTGTAATATTAACTGTTGTTGTTCCTTTGGCGATGTTTCGAGTTTATCAGATGTTGAACCTGTTTGACTGGAATTGATTCCATATGCTCCGTCATAGCTATTTTTAGTCGTGATTTCTTTGCTAAAATATAAAAAATTTTCGTCAGCGTTTTTTTTTTTTTAAAGTAATGGTACTTGATGTATATGTTTCTGAAACCGCTGGTAGATCATTCATACTTGATGTGTTGAAAATTGAAATCACTTTTTATATTTATATTCTTTAATGCATTAATCTTTTTGTTGTTCTTTTTTTCCACTTTCAGATTTGTTTTCTAGAAAGAAAAAAAAAATGGATGCTTGCTTTAAAGTTTCAGATTTTTGCAAAGCAGAAACACTTAAATAGAAATTTTCACGACTCTTTTTAAGGAACATTTTTTGTAATGTAAGATTTTTAGTCAATTCAGAAACTTTCTGCACTCATTTATACTCCCCAGCTTGGATCATTCAATACAAAGCGTAGTTTGATTGGTTTATTTACAGTGTGTAATGTTCGACTGGTCTTTTACTGCTTGTCAATTTTTTCGTTTAACTTGTCTTTTTTTCAACTGGTCATACCTACAATGAATTTTTAATGAGTGTTTCGGACTGAATTATTGTTTCAAACGCTGCTGCACGTGCTTCCATCTCAGCTCGTGTATTAATACAAGTTTTGATTTTTCCATCGAAATTTTTATCGAAAACAGAATTCAGCATGTCTCTTCTTTTATCACCTTCTTTCTGCATTTCTCTCTATAATTGTTTCTTTAAATATGAAATTATTCCTTCGTTTTGGTTTGAAGGAATTAGGTCACTTGAAAGATCTTTTAGCTTCTTTAATTTGGATGATTTAATCTCGACTTTTTGTTCAGAAACTCGGGACTTTCTTTTCAATCCGTTGTTCAGTTTTGTGGTTATAGGATAATTTTTTTTTTTTTTTTTTGGATCATTTTTGAAATGGAAGTGAGAGTTCAGGAATTCCAGTATGAAAGAAGGAAATGTTTTTTGGAATACCAAAAAATTGTTCATAGCTTCAATCTCGTTGACAGCTTCATTTCGTTCAGTTGTATTGCTACTTGTTTGAATATTTGGTAACCGTCCTGACATGTCTATCGTTACGGGATGTGAATAGTTACTCTGCTGCTGTTTTTTCAAAGTAATCTGAGACGATATCTGAGGTTTTTCCAACCTTTTTTTTGACGTGTCGTTCAGCATAATGAAAATCTAAAGAATGAGAAAACCGAGAAATTTTTCCGTTAAATAGTAGGAGTGGTTAGTATTTCATCCTAAAAAATTTTTTGATACAAAATTTTTATTTCTTTATGAACTAAGAAGACTGGAAAAGTCTCAGTCTAAGTAAGTCAAAGTTGTAGTATGCAAATTGGAAATGAAATAAAGTTTAGTTGTAATGGATTTACTTCTGCAGATGCAAATTCGTTTCACCAAACATCAAAGTGGATTGATGATGTACGTACTGAACGAGGAAGTGATGTAATCATTATGCTCGTGGGGAACAAAACTGATCTGGCAGACAAACGGTGACTTTAGTTTCGAAATGTCGATTCAAATGAATTTTAAATGTTTTTTCTTTGTGCATTGCAGATTAATTTCAAAATTAGACACTTAATACAGCAATGTGAAATTCAAGAAAATATTGAGCGAAGAAACCTCCAACAATGCAGTAATGATCTTTGTTAGGATTTTTGCTGATGAGCATAGAAAATATGATCGTATTAGCATTTACTGTCTTATAAGTGAATGTAACATTGTCTCTTATGACTCTATTTTGAATCAATATTTGCAAATATTTTGTATTCATTCAAGATGATTAAAAGTTGCTAAATCCTAAAATAAAATTTAAAAAATGGTTAAAAGGTTCCAGGCAAGTGTCTACTGAGGAAGGTGAGCGTAAAGCGAAGGAATTGAATGTTATGTTTATTGAGACATCGGCTAAAGCTGGATATAATGTGAAGCAGGTAACTGGATCTTGAATATGAATTGCAGTTGATACACTTGAGGCATATATTTCAGTAAATTTATTTTTTTTAGCTTTTCCGACGTATTGCTGGAGCGTTGCCAGGCATTGAAGCCGATCAAAGAGATAAACATGACAGTATGTTTTTTAATTTATTCTCCCATCCTCCAGGAAATTCATTCTTCATTTTTTCCTGTAATTGTAGTTCATTTTAAAACTTTATGCTTTTCTTTCCCATCATTTCTGAAATTGATAGAAAAAATTTGAAAACTTAATACTAAATGCTTTCGATTCTGTTTAATTCATTTACGTATTTCATCATTGTTAGGTCCTAAAGATACATTTGGTACGAGGTATCAACAAAGAAGCTTTTTTTTTTGAATGAAAATAACTTATTTGCTGTGGAGTAGACCACTAATTAAGTAAATACTGCTTTAGAAGCTATCAGATAATGGAGTTACAACAATACAATATAGTCCTATTAATGATATATATGCCACTAATGAGATGATCTGTAAGGGTAATACAGTTGATGTGGAGCTATTGCATGTTTTCTGTTTGTAGTGCAGGAAGTGAAGTTAAGCGATGCGCCTATTCGACAGGTTCAAATGCAAGAAAGCGGTTGTTGGTGTTAACGCCGTCATTGTTGTTTTAGTACCAAAAAATATCAACCAGGATATCATCGCCATAAAACATTATTCCGTTTTTGGTATATCTGCATGCATTTCTCGCTGCGCGCTATATCAAAATGATATTTATTACGATTACTGTTACCATTTTTATTTAAATGAAGTTCTTTTTGCCTTCTTGTGATCATATTGAAATTTGAGTCACTACCCTGCTTTTATCGGTTCAAATAACTTTTTAGCTTTTATGGAAAAAATTCAACATGTGCGCTTTATATGCATGCTTATTTATGTTAATGATGAAGAAACTGTTTGGTATTATAGCATTTGAAGAATTGAAGAAATTAAATTTAATTGCTTAAATTCGCAAAATATTTCGCTTCGTACGCATTCTTGTCGACACTGAGTATATTCATTTCAATGCATTTTAATCTGTATTGCTATTTATTTGCTAAAGTTTGTATAATTTTAATGGCTTAAATTGCATGGCAAGTTTAGTCCTTAGTTTCAGTTTAATGAATTCTTTTTTACTTCAAGCAGAATTTCAGACATCAATTTTTAGCAAACGCCGTTTTTTCATCAGCATGTGTTGTCTTGTTTATTGTTATTCTTTAATTTCTTCCTTTTTTTCTTGGGTATTTCAATAATGGTGTCATACGAATTGTCATAGCTCTGCAGCAACTTCTACATTCCTAAATTTTTGTATTTTTGGCGTTTAAATTTTGAATTGGAACAAGTATGGTGATTAGTAGGATGCTGCTCACTAGAGAACATATTCAAACAAGATGAGATATTGAAAATCTTCAATTTAAAATATGTCGCCATCGTTGGTAGCTCAGTACTTTAAATATGTCGTTTGTATTACTATGTTGCTTATACGAATTCTAAGTAATAACTGCGGTGAATATATTACAGCCATTATGCTGTAATGATTAGTAAATGTTTCATATCCGTTCACTTTTTCAAGAAAATTTTCCAGGTTTTTCAATTTTCACTTCGAAATATTTCTGAAATATTTCTTCGTTTACTAATATTTCTTTTTGGTATTTTCAACTAAGACAGTAAAACACCTAATAGAGGTTTTTGGTCCCAACTAATCCTAACAAATGTCCTAGTTTTTTATAGTGTGTGAAAAAAAACGTAGTTTTGTTGCATATGTGGAGATTTAGTTTTGTGACAAAGTATCTTGTAGAAAAGTCGACTGAAGACTATGTGATGAATTCTGTTTTTTGATGTCTAATCTTTCTGATATAATTTTCGAATTCTGCACGAAGCTTGGATAATTGTTTGGCATGTTTAACATTAGGTGACTATAATGATTTGAATACATTAAGGTTAAAAAGTCGAGATGACGAATTGCAGGAACACCACCTCACCCTTTAATTTCATGCACATGATATTATAGATCCAGTGATTGAAATTGGTCCTATTAAACCAAGAAAGATAGAAACAGAAGAAGGTTCATGCTGGTGCTAGTGCTTTGGTTGTCAGTATCTCGAATTCCTGGCTGTGCTAAGACACTGTCAGTTTCAATATGAAGTGAAGTATTTGAAAAACGGTTTTACACTTCCTCGTTATTTTCTATGTTTCCGTTTCGCTTGGATAGGTTATTGGTATTTTCATATGTGTAATAATCTTCTGACCTAAATCTCATTTTGTCTTTTCTAAGTTTTTAGTGGGCACTTGCGAACAGTAAAGTGACTTTAGAAACATTGACTTAAATGAAAATTGAGTTCCTAATTATTCCTAATTAATATTTCAAGAAAAAAAAAAATTAAAATCGTATTTCTAATATAGTGGAGTCCGTAGCATATTTTTATTTTGCTCGTCCATTTGCAGTATCTCTGAAGTGGCATTTTGTCCGTTCTGTTTCCCTGTTATCCATCATTTAATCCATATTCTAGATCAGATGTTTGCACCATTTCCCTTTAATTGTCTGTAATACGTGTATTCAATAATGGGCTGTTTGCTGTGACTTTTTTTTACTTACATGCTTGCTCGCTTATTATCTTCATCTCGTTTTTTTCTGGTGGATAGTTAAAGTTATACCAGCACTTAGATATGTATTTCGTAAATATAGCTTTCTCATATGAAATATCGGAATTATACTGAGGACATTACACACCGACATTATCCGACGTCTTAATTCATTGCAAACATTTCGACTTCATATATGAAAAATTCGATCTAACATAAAGGTAAATTCAGACAAGCTCTAAATCAGAATTTACGAAAAGAGATAATGCTATATTAAAAGAGGCATGTCTTCACTTTTAATTACTAGTAAAGGTTTTCTAGAAATGAAAAAACGGAAATTATCCACTCAATGCAATGAATACTGCGGGAAAAACCTGATAGAGATCCTTATTGAGAAAAGCAACCGTTTTCTGTATTAAAGACTGTAAATCTGTCGTAAGAAAAAGCGATAAAACATTATGAAAGAAAAGACAGAAGAAAGAAGTAGGGCTGTGAACTTTCCGCATTCACTTCCGAAAGAAATGAATTATATGAGATATGATATGAACAGATCAATGACAAGTGTGATAAAAATTTGGAAACTTGGGAAGTATTGGTAGTGAAACAATTATAACTGTAGCTTAAACAAATTATGCAATATCTGGAGAGACAAATGCTCTTCATATTTATATAAAAGTAAGAAACGTAGCGAAGATTTTGTTAACGATATGAAAAAGTTGTCTCAAACATAATACCTATTCAAATCAAGAATTTTAGAAACTCATGCAACAAAGAAACACGTCTTGATTATTTAAACTGGTTGATTAACGTTACCAGATTTGATTTAACGGAATTCAATCACCAGTTGCATAAGTACGTGTCCATTCTTGTGCTGTGCGTATCGCATCACTTTCATTATTCTTCCACTGTTCTGCAACATCAGTTGCCAATGGATCGTCTGGATTTGGCGCTGAGAGCAATGCCTGGATTGAAAGCAGAACAGTACGTATTTGAAGCGCCGGTGACCACTTGTCCTTTAGGATATCCAAACATATTCGTCCCAATTTGTCAATATTTGGGTGGTAAATTTTAGTCATAAATCGAACTTTCGGCGCAGCCATCGGATATTCTTCAGGTAAGAAAAGTTCCAACTTAAATACACCTCCAGCAAATGGACTACCTTCAGGACCAGCAATAATAACATGAAAATAACGGGCATTACTTTCATCCGGTACTGCCGAAATCCCAGGTACTGGATCATTCATTAGACGTTGTGTTTCTTTTGTAATGCGCTTTGGCAGGGCACTCGCCATTCTGCAATTTATTACCTGTAAAAGGAAAATCGTCCTATTGTACTTTGCTCTCTAATGAAACAAAAAACCATCCCAAGATACATCTAATCTTTTTTTTTCTTTTTTTTTTTTTAAGCAATATATGAACTAATTCCTCAGTAAATTAAAAATAACACTATGCAATAAGCAGGTTGGTAATCAAACTCAAGTGATAACAGGAAATATTTTTGACACAAGAAATCCCTTCAAAAAATTAAGAAAAAAGTGATGTGAATGAGTCATACAAATAGGTTATAAAGGTAATATTTTACTGCCAACAACTAGCAAGAACAGTATACTCATAAGAAATTAGTAACCGTTTACTATAACTCTGAGGTGAATCATTCCCATGTCAATATATTTTAGTGAATGAAAAGATGCATTTAGTATTCACTGCAAAGATGATATACTTTTTATTAATGAGTTCTACCGTGACACAGCTTTACAACAAACTTTTATTTCCACATATTATTGAAAACAAAAATCAATTTTTACAAACTGTAGGGGTATACAGTGAATCCCTATAAGCTCTAAAACCGTGAAAAGTAATGCTCATGGACGCAAAACCTTCACCTTATGTACGATTCGTTAGATACAACTGACAGATATTTTGACAATATTTAGTTTACAATATTCTCATAACTTTACAAAAGCTAACCAAATATCATTCCAAAAAATGTGACAGATGTTTGCGCCAATCAACAACATACTAATCCAAAACAGCACAGCAAGAATTGTATCAGAAAGAGAAAGCAGAATTCAACAAATTATTGAAAGTAGCTGCAATGTATGTTTTCTGTCCATCACATAGTTAAATCAGTAGTGTATATAAAATTTATATTTCGTTCTTTGACGACCACTTCGTTCATAGAAAAGTGAGAAAACTCTCTTCCCATTGTATAATCTGTGAAGGAATTACTTTTGCATTTTAATATAAAAAAAGTGCCAGTAAAACATTTAAACCGAGTATAAATTATTCACTCTCCAGTTCTCCATAGTCTTTTGAAAACCGCCAGATATATTATATATAATGGAGTTATTTCATTTATTTGTTAGTGCACTTGTCATCAATATTCCAAAAGGAAGGATGAGGTGAATTCTAGAGAACGATCACTGAGCAGCGACTTGAAGTAAATAATAAAGACATGATCTACTAAATTGAGAATACAAAACTCTGTTAATTTCAGTAAAAACTTTGGATTTTAATCCAATTATTGATAAGCCTTAAAATCTATAAGGAAAGAAATATGCAACTGACAATTAAAGATCTAATAAAAAAAAAAAGTGCAGCTGCTGACATTAGGGCAAAATCACCTGTTTTGTTCTAAAATAGGGATTGTAACAAATAAAGTTTAAATCCACTGTGTAATCAAGCTTTTTCACTGAAGATTAAAAAACATCGCAAACAGTTAAATTCACTTTATAATAGAAGAGATCAATGAAAAAGCGTTATACATTTTCCTTTGAATTACTAGTAAAGTAAAGCCCTGAGAGTCCAAAGAAGTTCTTCATTTTAAATCGCATCTCAATGGATAAGTTATCCATTGTTATCCAAGTACATTATATATTCGCTTATGAAAATATGAATGTGTCAGAGCAATCTCGGTTTTTCCGAGATGAAATTAAAACTTCTACAGAGAATTAACATGGAAATTCCACGGAGAAAATTCCTGCATTCACAATTTTTTGAAAATATTACAAACTGAAGTTCTGCAGTTTTCC